GGGGTGTGAGTGCATGCAAGCGTCCCCAGCCAGCCCCCAGCTCAGGGTGGCGAGGAGAATTCCAGGAACTACAGGAAACTGATGTCACTGCATTGTGTTTGCTTGTTTTCTTTTGACTGCACTAATGTTTAATTTTAACTTAACCCTCAGAGGGGTATTTTTAGTAAAACTGTTTCTCCACTCCTCCTGTCCCATGTTGTGGGGAGGGGGAACAGATTGTGCCTCCTTGTTTTTTCCAGTAGTCAGCTCTTTCTCCCTTCCCTCTGAAGAGCTCTCAGATGATTGACTGAGAGCTTGAACACTCAGCAGCATGTGTTACCCTGTCTCTTCACCTGGAGTAGCGAAAAGTTCATGTTGTTTGCTCTGTACCTGTGTCTCTTGATTTGATCATTAATCCAGGCTGAAAGGATGCAGGTCTACCTGGGCAGAAGTGCTCTATTCTGGTAAAAGAATAGTACCTCTTCCCAAGCATTCGGCTATTGCTGTGGGTGTCCCACGGGGCAATTGCTTCTTTAGGGGACTGGCAGGTTCTTCAGTGACTACCTGCTGGGAGAGACTGGCTTTTCTAAAAAGTTAACAACACTTGAGGGTGGAGGGGCTTTGTCAGCACTCAAGAGAATCACAGCCCTGCTGGGTAAGGGGATTTCCCTTTGTTTATGTTTGGGTTGTTAGTTTTTTTTTAAAAAAAAAAAAAAAGCAAGAGGTGGTACTTAAAACTCATTATCAGGCACAAACTAAGATTTGAACAGTAAAAACTGGACAACTTGCTCTGCTGATCCTGAGGAATCAAATCAGTTCTTGTATCTGAACGGTGCAGGACAATCTTCGAAGCCATACTAGTTTTATTTATTTATTTAGAAGAAAAACAAATAAACCCAAAGAAATACAGCTCTGTGCAGAGCATGGATTAACTGGAGAACTTTGCCATATCTTTGACCTGAGTTTTGGCTGCTGTCTATGTGGTTTGCTCTTCATGTATTTCTGCAGACAAAGAACAAAATCAGAAAATTCTGTTTCAGCCTATTCCATTCCTAGTCCATGTGTTACAATAATTACTCGGGTGCCAAACACAAAGATAAAAAGAATTGCTGTGTTTTTGGTTTGTCATTGTTTCATGTATGAAAATGGCTTTAATTTGTAATTATCTACACATTATAAGAAGTGTGTATGTGGAGAAGCTATTGAAAAATGGCAGCGGAATAATTAAATTCACACCAGCTCCCCATGTGAATGCTAAGACATCAAGAGTGTCTTCTGTGGTTTAGCATTATCCACTTCCCAAGCAGGCTCAAAGCGTGGAATAGCGAACTTTGATTCATTTGCCTGTACAAACAGGTCTCTGCTTTTTGAAGGACTAGGTAAGAAATGCCTTTATCTCTGGCAAAGAGATTTATACGTGTAGTCTCATCAACATTATATACCTTGAACCTCCTGAAAGCTTCACCTCCTGCTGCGCTTCTAAATAGCATCAGCCATTAATGCAAAGGACCATTGGTGGGCGCTGAAAAGGTTACCAGGCACTGTGCAACACTTGGCATGGCTGGTGTATGGGAGATGGGTGAGCTTGGGTTTCCGATTGCAAGGGTTTGTTGTGACTGGATATTTCTGATGCCTTTTCCCTCTCCCTTGGCCCCTCCATCCTGTAATTCGCTTTTAAAAGAAACCAGTCTCTGTTGTGCTGAGCTCAGCACTGGAGCCATTTGCAAAGACACCACAAGGAGAAGCAGCACTTCTCAGTTTACAGGCTGGACCCCGGTAGGAAACGGTCATTCCTTACGCTGTCAGATTGCTTATGCGCCAAAGGGATTGCCCATTGAGCAA